ACTTCTCTCTCGCTTCACACTCTTCACTGCCTATAACGCTCGACCGCACGTAGAGTAGAATTACTCTTTCGGCTCATTTATCTGCGATGAACATAAATTCAGGCCGACCCCTCAGCTATTCTATATTAATAAACATTTCTCTTTCTCTACACAAAACCCGACCTGCCTCTCGTGTCTTTGCGTTTCAAAGAAACGCTTACTCCAGTAAAGGCTACACCGAGTTCCACTTCAAACGGCTCTTCCAGCACCCGTGTCAACGCCCCTTTCAGCCGGGTCAACGGCGGGCGCACCGTTGCTGCTTCGCATCCCATAATGGTTCCCTTCGGGGAGATGGTCCATTATTGTTTACAGTTACGCGAGATCGGATCCAAAACAGTTAGCTGCCTGGCTCACTTCGTATAACATTACAATTTGCTGCTATCACATTGATCACTTCGCTTTTGCAGTGCAACTGCGACTCTCTTAGTTATGTACAATCGCCCATTTTTTTTTTCCATTCTGAAAGCGCGAGCGTCAACCGTCGAGTAGGTAAGTGCAAAGAACAGAGGTGAAACGAACAAGAATATGTGAATGCCCTCTTGAGCAGACATGTGCACCTGTCAAGGGTAGGCAGTTCTGAGAACTGGACACGACCCCTACTTTTTTTTAGCAATTTTACTGCCATCATTTTCTTTCCGAACGCTGCCACCAAGTTATATAAAAACAGTTTCACCAAAAGGGCAAGGCAATGAATGCAATAGCAACGAATCGTAGGGCTGGCAGCGAATGTATTTAAATCCAATACCACATGACTACAAAACACTGCTGTAAGAAAAAAAAATGCCCGCAGCTTCCCTCGGGGGAACACTGAGGAGGATGCGGACCATATAATTGGTTAACGGGGTGTTAAAGTGCGACTTACTTGGGTCGATGGCTAAATTGGTTAACGTGGTTGTGAAATGGGGTGTTAAATTGCGACTTACTTGGGTCGATGGCTAAATTGGTTAACGTGGTTGTAGGAGGGGGTGTTAAATGAGTGAACACGTACACACGTATGCGAAAGGGCGGCGCTGGTCGAAGGGACGTCGATCATTGTGTTTGTGGATTCGTTGGAATTCATTTCACCGCGACCTTGGACGTCGACGCGCCGTACAAACCAACCGACGAGCGGCAACTGAGCGAGCGAGCGCCGACCTTGAGTATATATACAGCACGACGGCGCATGCACTGTCAGCTGTTGAATGTTCTCGAAGCGCGACGCCACATGCGCGTCCACTCGAGAATCAGGAGAATTGTAGATGTCGAACGCGGTGTGTAGAGGAGGAAGGGATGCACAGATGGTGGAAGAGTGGGCGACGGCGCGACGGCGCATGCGCGCGCGTCAGCTGTCGAATGTTCGAGAAGCGGTGCGGACGGCGCACTACAAGGCGCGAGTATAAGATGCTCCGCATCTAAAAACAGCCGCACCGTGGAGAGATGCTCTTCTCGTAGTCCCTTCGCGTTGAGAGCGTAGCACGTAGATCACACGTAGAAGGGTTCACGAGCCATTTGCCCGCATGCCTGCTATGATTACGACCACGCCATTAAAACCTAAGTTTCTGACTGCTGCTGGAGCAATCACAACCTTTACAAAACTGACACTATACTGTTTTCGCTGAAACCAAAAAGACGATGTTTCAGCCACATTTTCGGGCACGACGCCTAATGGCTTCTGCGTCTTGCGGCTAAATTATGTAGCTGCGGCATGGTATGGCGCTGAGAAAGCAAGTTTGACGCAGCAGGGGTGCTTCGGCGCAGGTAAACAAGTTTGGCGCAAATGGCTCAGCTGTTCCAACCCTGAATTTCAGCCAATTTTAATATAACTGGTAGTAGGCACATCTCGAGCAAAAAAAAAAAAAAAAAAGGCAAGCCATGGTCTCTGAATATCAGTCAGTTCAAGAAACTGGTTCGTTATCTTATTGAAATTTGCTTTATTGCGATAGAAGTTACATGGACACTCTCGGCTAGATTTTGCCACCGGCATTATTCACCGTATATGTATACATATCTGTATATATGGAGACGCAAGAAAAAAATAATCTAGAAAAAGACTGGCGTGCGGAATCGAACGTCAAACCTCTAAATTGAGTGGCAGGCGTTAACCAATGAGCCGCAAAGGAGCTTCAACGTTAAAACAGCAAGCTATTTTATATCTACCACTTACCGCTGGCCGATGGGCATCTCAGAGGGGGGGGGGGGGGACTATGGTGCTTTCAGCATTACCAGCGAGATGGCGCAAGGAGCGCGTGTCGCCAGATCGTCACGACGCGCTCTCTCATCTCACATGCCTACTTTGTCCCGCGGAGATGGGGCAGGGTGGACGATCACGCGTGCGGACATTCATATGCCTTGGGCTTTCAAGAACGATTCTATTGTAGTTACTGGGCGCACAAATATCACTGCACTCATTGCACAGTCTCCGTACGCTTTCTGGATACAGCGAAGTAACAACTGAGATGCTTATTCGCGTTAATCTGTACCTGTTCGTGCGTTTCGTGCATCAATTGTGCGTGAGAAAAGCGACGCAGGTTTCGATCTGCTTGCCATTCTTCCCGTGACCTTCGAATTTGTTCCTATCGAGTTCATTCCTTCGCCCTTGCGGCAAAGCTGTGACTTTTTTTTTTCTACAGTGCAGTGCTATTTGAACAATGTTGCAGTGCTTTTTCTGTAAAAATGAATCTTTTGGCCAGTGTACACTTTCTAAGAAATTTCCATGTTTAACTTGAAATTTAAATAAAGTAAAGTAAATTGTCAATTTTGATGAGCGTTAGTTCAAGTTTACAACCAAAATCCAGTAGCTCAATCATACTTGAACTGGTATAGCGCATTATAGGGAAGAAGAAACGGCTGAGCAGACCGACACAAAGCGCTCTGACCTCTTGTGTCGGTCTGCTCAGCCGTTTCTTCTTCCCCATAATGCGCTATACCAGTTCAAGTACGACGAACCAACTCACCCAATCTTCAACACTCGTAGCCCAATCATGATCGTTTGTGACACACAAAGCTAGCCCGCATCCAAATAGTTGAGTAAATGTACACAAATGAATCATCTGAGTTCTCTTTGTGTTGGACTGCAATGACTTTGGGTGGAGGTTAAATTTTTTTTTTTCTTGGTTGCGATTGGCTGTAAGTTGAGTTGTCATAAAGTTTCATGGATGTATCGACTATTTTGCCACCACGCGAAAATGTTTGTTTTTTATATTGTCTAGGGAAGATTGTTTTTCCCAGTTTGAAAAGTACTTCAGCATGCATTGCAGCACATAAAACTTTGCAAGTTCAAAAGCTCTTTCCAAAAAATATTGTTGTAAAGCAAAAAAATATTTTAACTGAATAAAAGTGTGAAATGTGTGGAATTTCGGTAGTCAGCTGGTAAACAGTGCAGCAAAAAACACTATATGCATAAATATTCTAAACAAAGAAAATTCAGAATGTACAATTTATAGATATAAATGGCCTAGGAACAATATAAAATGTTTCTTCTCAGATAGATAAAGAAAATGAAAACCAAGGTGCTGCTTTATTGCTTGTGCTATGTGGTGAAGCATTGCTTGGTTTCTCGCGAGACGCACGTGCACTCGTACACTTTTTTAAGTAAATTTTTGTTGTTTTGCAATAAGAGTCTCCCAGTGTTCCAATATAGATGTATACCTATGATGTGAATAATCCCTCTCTAAATGAGATGTTCAATGAGCTTTGCTATTTCATCTAGTCGCAGTCCTTTCCATGAGTCCACCTCACTTCGCATAGGTTGGCGTTCCAATACTATATGCATACACGCATATTTCTTTGCATTTTTGTGCATATCATATAAAAAAAAACAATATAGCAGTGCAGTTCTATAACGTTTCGCACTGCTCTGTAGTAAGGGCCACGATGTGCTCCGAGGGGTCTTCTCGTCGTTAGGGGAAGCTCTGCACCAGCGCAGTGAGGACCATGCACGTAAACAGAGTAGCTATAAGATTTTGCACAAACGTCAGAAGCTATCCACACTTGCGGCGAGAGAGGACAACTTGAGGATTTAAACAAAATAAACCCATGGACGGCTGCAGATGTCTCAGGCTGACGCACAATATCGTCGCCATAAAACTTGAGGCTGAGGTGCTGTCATCCTCGAACTCCAAGTTCGCCCTCACTCAATTGAGGTGGTGTTGCAAGACAGTTTCGAGCAGTGCATGCGTTTTGCAGTGCTGGTGCATACCCATGCGCATGTGACGACAACGTCATAAGAGTGACTAGTGACACTGCATGTGACCCTGTACCTGATATAACGACGCAAGCAAAACCAAAAGTGCTGGAAACTGTCCTAGAAGGCCACTTCCACACTTTAAACATGTAGTGGACTTTAGTAAATATATTTTGTGGAACAAATTTTCCGAGACTCCTAGGAACTGCTCTCTATTGAACATCTGGCATAAATTTCTTGCTATTAATACTGCTCAACATGCTCAAATTGCGAAGCTCACACTTGAATTCGATATTTGGCTTGCAAAGATTCGTTTCATTACAGAACTTCAATGTCACTGTAGCATAATCACGAGGGGCACGCACTTCTGTCAAGTTTGTCAGCCTCGTGCACTTTTCTTACAATACACGCACATTAGTTTGCGCAAAGGTCTGTGAAAAATCACTATGTTGCCAGAACAGGGCAAATTCAATATTGATTCTGAAAGTTGAGTGGCTGGACTAAATACTAGAAAGTGCTGGGTGCACGGTAAACAAATTTAACATGCCAAAATCGATGATCCAGAAGTGTCGATCACTGGTGATTGATTTGAATAGGCGTGGTAACGAAAGAGTGAAAATGAGAGACATTTCACAAAATTTTCTTGCCTCTGCTGCACGCACCAGCACTGTGACAAGTAAGATCCGTTTTGCGGGAAAAAAAGCTAGAATGTATTTCGCAAATCTGAGGTTGCTCTATGGCCTTTGCTGGTTAGGGAAACACTTATGAAATTTAGTGGTATACGAGCACAATAAACACGCTTGCTCCAAGGCACATTTATTCAACAATGCCAAGCTACACTACTTGAACTAGAGAGCAATGATCACACGATCATCAGTTCTGCATAGTCCAGTGTGTAAAAGCTGAAATTGCTGCAGTGCTATAATTTAAAACAATGCTTCAGTAATAGTACTTTAACGTTGGCACTTCCTAGGAACATCTCCATGTTCAGCTTGTCGCACACAATGACAACTCTACGATGTTCAATTGCAATCAAGCGTATGCACCACGAACATGAAATATACATTCCAGTAAAAGATGCACACACCGAAAAGAATCCTAATCAGCATTTCCAATGCAATATCACAGCAAACATATTGTTACCACATATGTAATTTAGGTATGTGCATTTGTGTAGCGGGGAACAGGGAGGTGACAGAAGACGACGTTCAGCTATTGGCAAAGGTCTCCGGTGCGCTTTCACTCGACACCTTCGAGTCGACCGGTACGTCGCCTCAGAATAAAGCCCTCTCGTGGACATGACAATATAAAGAAAACATGTTCAGGCCTTCCAAGAACAGGCCTGATGTATGTATGCGAGAAGGACCCGATGCATCTTTCACTGCATCTACAGCTTTTAAAAATTGTGCGTTGGTCTGTTTCCGGTGTTTGGTTCACTTTGCCAAACTACTGCATGGGAATAGCACATGCCATCTTGTTACTGCTAGTAAGACCTCATCGCCATCAGCAACATGTCTGCCCAAAGATGCTTCCCCTTCAATATTTCAAGGCTGTTAAAGCACATGTCCTATGCACGCAGATCTTCCTGAACACTGGCACCAAACTGTAGCTCTAATCATGGCGATTGAACAATTTAATTTGCAGCCGAGGCTTCGGCAAACGAGTGCTAAAATAAAGCGTAGCTTTCAGTGATGATAGCCGTACTGTCCAACTTGAGATGTGTGGAGAATTCCTGTGAAATTAAGCATGTAAATATGCAGAAATGCTAGTCCTATTCACTACTCAGTAGTGAAAGCTGTACAATTACTGTATCAACCAGAGTAAAGTTTTCCCATCAGAGCACTGGTTGCTACACTTATATGGCCATGCCATCTGGCAGCACTACCACAGTCACAGTACGTGCAATAATTGGAGGCAGCGAGTAACTTTCACAATTGTGTCGCCACTGTAATGCAGCAATACGATGAGAAGCGACAAGAGTCGTGGTCTCAGGGGGACGGACTTTGACCCTGTAAGTCGAGTGCGACGTTAGAGGCACTATCACGTAGAATTTGGAAGTCCATGCGTGGTAGCTTCGGCTCACTTCCAAGCCTGGTCATTGAGGCTTCCCTCCGGCCGAGCCAAGTGCCCCTTGCGGAGGACCTGTTGCAGCAACGCTTCCAGCCGCGAGATGGGCCCACTAGACGTCTTCACGAGCTGCTTGAGACGCGGAAAGTAGTCCTTGCAGAGCACGTGCAGCATCTTGCGGAACTGGCGGCCGTAGTCTCGTTGCAATGTCCAGCCGGCCACCTCCAGAAAAGTGCAGATCAGCGTGGCCGCAAAGTTAGGGTCCTCGGTCGGCGTGTTCAGGCACATTGCCAGCCATTGCCACCCGCGCTTCGAACCCGGCGGCTGGCGCGACATGTCGCTGTCTAGAGGCTTGTGCCACGGCGGCAGCGGCGTTTGCAGCAGGGCAGCGTACAGGCGCATGAGGCCCGTAACACGCCTCAAGAACTGGCTCTCTGTCTCCATGTTGCTTCCGTCGCACTTGTAGCCACACAGCCTATGTTAAAAGACAAAAGATTGACTGCAATCCCTGTCTAAATATTATTCTTCTACGAATCTACAGATTTCGGACAGTCCACTTTCAGAATAGTTTTGTTTTGTCACAACCTTCTGCTGTAACAGTTTTACTTTGAGAGAGCCACTGGGCTAACTTTAATGAAATCTGCAGCATTTGAAAATAAAGGTTACACTCTGAAACCGTAGGAAGCAGAATTTCAATTTAAGAGAAGGCTGAAGAGCTTTAGCTCCTTGTTAAATGCTATGTAAGAACTACTAAGGCTTGCTAAATCATTTCAATTTTCATGTCACGAAAAATAACAGAAACTGTATTAAAATGCCTGAGAAATGTCACGCGTAGACAGCTGTATTTATAGAGAAAGCATTCAAGCAACTCACAATAAACACAACCGCTATTCTAAATGCTGACATTGACATTTTGTCACACATTTTGTCAAGTGCCAAAACTGCAACTCGAAGCAAGCGTAGTATTCGCTAATAAATACATCTGTGGTTGGTTAGCACATGACACTGCCAGGTAGGCATTCATCCCAACGGCAACTATACGACTACTCTACACCAGCGAAAGAGCAAGACTAGGTTTGTGTGAATAGTAAGCCTTAGCTCCAAGGCAAAATCGAAGTGATTAGTGATTTGGAATGATTTTGAATTGAAATCACATATTAAAAAAAAAATCAGCATACTTGTCATGACCTAACAAACCTGCACAATACTTTTCTTTCTCTAAATTAAAACGTTTTGAGGTGTGTGTGAGTGTTTTTTTTTCTTTTGTAGTTGTTCAGAGGAAGTGGAGGCAACTCTGAATAGTAGCACGAACAACTATGCCCCCACCTAACAAGCTGCACTTAGCTGCTATGGCCCACTCATTGAGATGTAGACGTGTGCACCAACCTGAGGTATTCACTCTCGGAGGAGGCCATACTACGGCTGAAGAAGACCGGCACCAGAGCGGGACAGCGCATGTAGAAGTGTCCAAGCAGAAGGTCACCGAGGTCGGGGTAGCGACACCAGAGGCCCACCGCCACCGCCGGGCTACGGGATAGGCCGTTTCCTCATTGGACAAAATCTGCTCTTCGCCTTGCAGCTGTGACAGATGCAAAAAGGCGGCGCTCACTCACTCAGGTGGTGCTGTTAATTCCCATGCACAAAGCTAGCAGTGCTTTCAGAGAGTGTGAGATGCCCAACAATTGTGCAAATATTCGAATGCTTCAAATTGAATTCGAATTACTGAAAATTTATAAGCATTCTAAATGAACGAATAGATGTATACGAGTTCACCCTGTAATAGTTCCTGCAATGCTGTAACCCTCTGTAATAGTTCAAATTCATAATGTAGTGCAAAAGAGACACAACGAACACACAGAACCACACACTACAAGCGCTTGTGGTGTGTGGCTTTGTGTGTCCGTTGTGTCTTTTTTGCGCTACAGTATGAATTTGAGCATGCACCAATGCCCAAGACAAAGCCCTTCTGCAAAACCCCCTGCAATAGTGGTTTCACTTCAGTAGAGAGGTGCTAAGTCGTGAAAACACATACTCAAGAGAAATCTGCCTTGCTGTGAAGCCCCACTTCAAGGTTAAATGAAGATATTACCTCCACATTAATTAATTTTTAAAGTTAAAGAGCTTGTTATACCGACTTACATGCTCCAAGGTACAGAAAGTTTAAAACTTAACATATTTTACAAGTATAAGTTGCCTGCTGCCGAAACTCAAATTGTGCTACTATTCCAAGGTGTTCCCCTTTCACTTGAAGCTGAACAATGGCATTGGCACATGCCTTGCTTAAACTTTTTTCTTAGAATATTGAGCAGGTTAGTTAGGTCATGACAAGTATAGCTATTTTCTTTATATTATGCGATATATACACCATTCGCATTCGATTCGCTTTGAATCTGAAAGTCACTATTTGCGCAAGTCCTACAAAGCAGCACTGAAGCATACACTGTTAAAGAGAAATGCAGATTACAGGGCCAGCAAAGGGTTCATGACTGCAGGCATTTATCTGTGAACCTTGCTACCAACACCTTCGTTGCAGCTCTCAAGGATTTTGCTGACAAAGTAGAAAAATTATGTCAGACAGTAGACGAAGGAGCAAACACACGGTTCTGCAGACAAGAACAGCAGCACGAAGAAACCCACTTGGCCTAGTAATCCCAGGAACTTACCGATCTGCTTGTATCCTGCAAAACACTGTGCGTACTACTTGTGTGGATTACTAATAATTAAAAAAGGCTACATTACTGTCACACTGTGTCTGCATGGCTTGCTCGCAGCTTCAGAAGCAGCATTACCTTCGAAAGAAGCAATAGTGAACCGCAGAGGTAAAGCACCAAAATTGTTATGCAGAAAAAAAAAAGTACAATGCTCATCTATGATGAACTTATAATTAATAGCACATTCGCCACACCCAACAAAAAAAAAATGCGGGGCTCTTCCGAAGTCTTTTGCTGCGAAAGTTTTGTGTGCCTACTGCGCAGTGTGTGTGCAGACAGATGGTGCTAATGCTCAGCGATACACCATAAGCGTTTGAGCGACTGTAACTCCCACAGTGTCTTCTACACAAATTGGCTCTGATATGCAAGACTGCCATTAAATTTTGGCCAGTGCTCTTTGGGCAATAATTAAATTCGCAGTCTTTGCGGAAAACGCAGTTGCCTCATGGCCACAAATGATGACTGCCAAACTGAAATGGACAAAAACTAAAGTTTAAACAGACGTCTCAACGGAGAAGCATCATTATGCCTTTCAAATTGTAAAAATGTCCTTAACAGCTTATGAAAACATTCAGGTGAAATGCCTCTTAAAGATGTTCTCACATCCATGATGTTCTTAAGGAGTGCTGGAACGTGAAAGCGAACATGCAGGCCTTGTTTCATTGCCTTTAAACATAATTTATGAATGCTCTTTCATTCTTAGACAAGGAAGTACCCTGGCAAAACTTTGTACGCTGAAAGCTAATCAGACAACTGCAGAAGCGCAATGCGAAACGGGAGGTGCACCATGCGAGCTTACCACAATCTTCTCCGCAAGCTTGTCGAGGCAATAACGCAGTGCCAGAGGATGAGAGCTGGTGGAGATGGTGCAAGAACCTGACTTGAAGGGCTTGCCCGAGAGAACGGTGTTCAGCTGATCCAGCTTCTCCTTTACAGAGCTCGAAATGGATATTGCATTCACAGGAATCGAGACTGCCTTCAGCAGGTCAAAGCAGTACTTCTTTTGCTGGTTGAGACACAGGCAAAGAAAAAAAAAGAGAAAAAAAAATATTGGCTGCATGTCTACATGCTTCGTTGCAAATGTCATGGAAAGACTAGCTGGCTGAAGGCCAGCCAAGCGGCCATTTATGTTTTGCCTTGCCTGAGACAGCACCTCCTCTATGTTGAATCAGCCACATATGACTGGCATTGATAAAATAGAGGAGACGCTGCGTGAGACAGGGTTCGCCATCTGGCAGTGCTGTCGGGAAAAACATGCTTGAGCAAAACCCAGAGCCACAGCCCATATCATCAGCACAACAGAGCCACGGCACCATATCATCAGCACAACACTCTTTCGTATATAGCGCCGCATTTTCAGAGCAGAATGAAACACAATAGGGACTTTGGAATTACGTAAATTATGTATTTATGCATTTTATAGTAAAGGAAACACAGAGCCTAATACTTGTGTATTAATGTTGCACCTCAGATATGCGTGATTTGCTTTCCGATCGACAATGTTCACAAGTATGAATGCAGCCACCTAGTTGAAGATGGCTGGGCGTTCAGCAAGTGCATAAACATTGGCCGGTTAGCTGAATCGTGTAATAGACAGACAGACTGACCGAAATTTCGACTTTCAAGTATTCCAATAAAGACTACAGTCTTTAAAAAAAAAATTGGCAGCATATCCACGGAGTGAATGATGGAGAGTAGGGCGAAGCATTCGTCCGTCCATTCGTTCTAGCTTCCGTCCGTCCATGCGTCCATCCGTGCGTGCGTCTGTACCTGCGTTCGTATATGCATCCGCCCCTGCATCCATTCATGCGTCCATCCATGCATCTGTCTGTGTGTCCGTTCGTCCATCTATTCAACACTCCAAGTACCACCATCTCACATCTTTTCATCATATATTCCCCATATAGAAGCCCCGCTATCCATCGGACATTCCAAGGACTAAACGAGAGGTGGCACACGCACACTTTCTTACGGCTTGCGCTTCAGGTGTACTTCCCACCTTTAACCACCTCGAGTTCATTCATGGTATATACTAGTTCACTGTATTCATGGCACTGCGGCCCAACGCTTGCTAAACCTTTCTAAAACTGAGGAGGTTACACTCAGCGAGCATAACGCAGCAACCCTTTCATTGTCAGATAGTGCTCAATGTACATGCCAATGGCTGCTAATGGGGATCGCAGCGTGCGCGTTAACTAAGAGCCGAATGCTCCTGTCTCTCATTCCCCATTAGCAGCCATTGGCATGCACATTGAGCACTATTTTTTATTGTTCAACAACGCACAGAAGAAATCTCTCACCGGCACCACCTTCGAGGTCGAAATGTTATACTTGTTACATACTACAACGGCTACGAGGGTTGTAGTAATGCGGTTGCCAGAAAATGGTTGTGATGAATGCGGTAGCAAGTGCGCGCCTGAAAGAAGCCGCTGGGGAGTGAGCGATGAGGTCGTTACGAAGGAGGAGGGGACACGGAGTGAACAAATGAAAGGGTGAAGGGAAGAAAAAGAAAATGAAAAAAGACTGCGGGACACTGCGCGGGCTAGTCAAGTAAGAAGAAGGGCGGTTACCCTCGGGACGGATGAGCCTTTGCACTGGAGCTTATGCAGCTACAGCGTACTAGTGTCGCTAGCATAGCTCCGGCCGCACGGTGACTTAAGGGGGGACGCGGCCTTTAAAACCGAAAAATCGCGAAAAAGGTGATTTTTGGCACACCACATATTCGGGCAGTATGTGTCATAAACTACCTTTTCTGTAAATATCAACGTCTAATTCGTCGCGAAACCATTTGAAATAAAGTTTAAAACATGCCGCGGCGGCCCTCGAGCGGCGTGCGAGCGCTCAAAATACCCCAACTTGGCGTGATCGCAGTTTCTCGACCGCTCGACGGAGCGCCGCCATTTTGGTGTTGTTTTGTTTGTGAATTTTTGCTCTTTCTTTCCCCGCCACCTGCATCGCCGGCGGCAGCGCAGGAGAGGAGCAAGCCGCTCATGATTGGAGGGCTCGCGAGAGCTTTCAAGTTTCCCGCGGCTGAGGCGCGCAGCTGGGATTGGGCGAAGCGCGCGCTCCCCAAGGACGCGGGGGAGCCCGCGACTGCCATTGGCTGCTGCGCGCGATGACGTAGCGCTCTTGCGCATAATGCGGCCGCTCGTCTGCTGCTCCTCCGTCCGGCGTCTTTGTGTTCCGCTCGCTTCCGTGTATCGTTGCAGCGTTCGCATACTCTCCACGTTTCAACTGTCTTCGAAACGATTTTCAACCGTCTTTACGAGACGATTTTCAACCGTCCATACGAGACCGTTGTTGTGTTCGCTCACGATGCGCCCAACGAAAAAGAAGACGCTACAATCGTTCGGTGCAAGGAAGCGAGCTATGAAGCTTGTCCGCGCGGCGAGGCTCTCCGCTCACACGTGCGCCGACGGTGATCGCGCCGACGGTACCTGTGGGGCAGCTTCTGCTTCATCTACGCAAGAGAGTGGTCGCATCGACGCGCCTAGCAACGGGACTCCTGCTCCGCCGGTGCAAGAATTTGTCGTTACAAGTGCGCCTGGTGTCTCGTGCTCATCGACAGTGGCTTCCGCATCTTCTCTTTCATCGGCCTCGAGTGCGATCGCGTCGTCAACTGTGCATTTGCGAACAAGTTTCCTGACGTGCGAGGAGAAAGAGGCGGCGGATCAACAACGCGCTGCTGTGCAAAGAGAACTTGGCACTATGCCAGCGACGGAGCGGAAATTTCAGGCAATGGAGCGCAATCATGAAGCTGCCACCGCTACAAGTGAAGGCGAAAAATTTTTCCTTGTGCAAATGGATGCTCTAGACGACCTGCTATCTCGGACCCCGTGCCACCGGTGCACCGCAATTGGGATGAAGGTACGAGGAGGCACCCAACTTGGACTTGCTGCAAAGCTTGAGCTAGTATGCTTGCATTGTGGAGTAGTTTCAAGCTCATGGAGTTCATCTCGTCAGGATGACACAAAGGCCTTTGATGTGAATGCAAAAGCCATTATGGCAACAAAACGAATAGGCAAGGGACAAACAGCTCTCAACGACTTTTGGGCAGCGATGAACGTGTCCCACGTGGCCTCCATCACAAGACCTTTCAGAAGCACTTGAAGAAATCCAGGGAACCGCAGACACAATGCATAGAAAATTTCTATGCAGAATCTGCTTCTGCTGTAAAAGCCACTTACAAAGAAATGGATCAATATTTCACCAGGGATATAACAGTTTGTTATGATGGAACATGGCACAAGCGTGGGCACACATCCCATATTGGAGTCGGGGCAATTATCGAATACCATACGGGCCTTATCTTGGACGCCGTTGTTCTGTCTAATCAGTGCCTTGGTTGCCAAGTAGGGCCAAAGCCTGGAGACGCAGACTATGCATGCTGACAGGAGAATCATGTGTGCCAGAAAAACACCGACTCTAAATCAGGGAGAATGGAGGTTGAGGCAGCTATCATCCTCTTTTCACGCTCACTGTCGAAGCACAACCTCCGTTACACAACGCTCGTGTCTGATGGAGATAGTGCCACCTTCTCTGCCCTTGTACAAGAAAATGTTTATGGACTGGTCCCCATTTCAAAAGAGGAATGCCTGAACCACGTTCAGAAGAGGATGGGGACTGCACTTCGCAACCTTGTGCAGAAAAGTGACAAGGCTTTGGGAGGGAAGGGCAGGCTGACAAAGGCCCTCATCGACAAGTTGATAGATTATTATGGCTGGGCCCTACGGAACAATTCCGATGATGTGGCTGCAGTGCGGCGGGCAGTGATGGCATCGTACCACCATGTGACGTCAACGGATGAGGAGCCGCACCACGACTTGTGCCCAGAGGGTGCAGACTCCTGTTGTCGTCACAATGCCAGCAAGATTACCGGTGTTCCACCTCCGAAGCATCCGTACAAGCTGTCACGCTATGTTGCAGATGCACTTCTACCCATTTATGAGAGGCTCTCACAGGCTTCTCTTCTGCAACGCTGCCTGGGAGCAAAGATGCAGAATGCATCAGAGTCCTTTCACTCTGTGCTGTGATCCCTCATGCCCAAAGAGCAGCATGCGTCACTGATTGCTGTGGAGACAGCACTGCATGATGCAGTGCTAAGATACAATGCTGGCTGCTACAGGGCCACCCAAGAGCTAGCTTCATCAGTGGGGCTAACACCTGGCCACCTGGCCATTCAACGGGCAGCCGAGAAAGATTCTCTGCGCTTGAAAAAGGCTAAGAAGCGATCCCTAGAGAAGATGGAAAGGCGGCAAAGAAAGAGAGTGCCAAAGGACACCTCCAGTTACGCTGCAGGTTCATTTTAGAACTGCCTATGTGCTCAAAACTTTCAAACGTCGTTTTCTCAAAATGACTTTTTTGGCTAGTGAGGCTGCTTATTCCAGCCATATCTCTGGAACCACTCATTGGATTTCCGTAAGTCTTTTTTTATTATGTACATGAATAAATTTCTGAGGGGGTGACAAGCCCATTTTTTCAATATATTGTGTGTGTTATTTATTATATTCAATCAAAATTTGATAATATCCTAATCACAAACACAAAGTTTGATGGTCTGCTAAAATTTTTCAGCAAGGAAATTAAAAAAAAGGGCACTGTTACCCCCTGGAGTATCAATCTGGGAATCATCATAGTTAATTTCACAGTTCCAGCACCTTTTGAAAGTTCTCCAGGCCTGGAATAAGAGAACCATGTGCACTACCCTGATATTCTGCTGTAACTTGAAAACCAGTGAACATAACTTGATGAAATTTTGTAGTTCTTCTAATGCTTTTGCTATAAGTCTATCCTGAAAATTTCATTAAGATATCTCAATAAACAAAAAAGTTGGTATCGGATGGTAGCCTCCCCCCTTAATATGGCACGTGCAATCCCTTCCTTGTCAACTGCACTTAGCAGTTTCCTCTCAGGAAAACCGTCGTCATTATCGAGCTAGGTACAAATATCATGTTTTTCCACCTCGTTCGTAAGTTCAAACCTTTTATGGTTTTATAATGCGAGCTT